GGAAGGTGTCCCTGCCCATGGCAGGGGGTTGGGAACGAGATGAGCTTTCCAACCTGTTCTATAACCTTCACATTCCAGCTGCTGCTGAAATACCCAACTCAACCCCCTCTGGCATCAGGCAGCTCATCCCAAGCCAATCCTCAGCCTCCTCCTCTCTCCTCACCCACCGCGACAGCGACAGCTTTGCCTCCTCATCCACCCCCGGCACCCACTCACCTTGTGCATGACAATCTTCCTCTGGGCTGGCTCTGCCACATCAATCATCTTCTGCACCACGTAGTTGGCATATTGATCCTTCATCATGGTGTATAAGGCACTGTGGGGGCCGTCGTTCATGGTGCACACCTCGTCGATCAGCATGGCCCGCTCCGTGCGCGACGCGTGCGTCACACACTTCTCCACCACGTTACTGCAACGACACAGGGGACAGCCCGTGAGCCAGGAACTGCCCTGGCCTGCCCAGCCAACCCCAAGGAGATCTCTCACGCTGCCAGTGCAGGTGCCATCTCTTATGCTGCCCCTCATTTGGGACACGGGGAGGTGCTGGTGGAGTTCAGTGATGTGAAATGAGAGAGCAGAGCTTGGGATCCAAGGGGGAATTTGGGAGATGGACCAGTTCAGGGTTTATTTCACCCCAGTTTGTGCGACTTCTACAATGATCAGTGTCTGTTCTCAAAGTGTGTCCATCAGAGAGTCACAGAATCACAGGATATTCTGAGTTGGAAAGGACCCACAAGGATCAGCAAGTCCAGCTCTTAAGGGAATGGCCCATCGAGTCCATTCCTCTCCACCACAACGACACAACAAGGAGAATCCAGGGCTTTCCAGCCAACCCCAGGGAGATCTCTCAAGCTGCCAGCAAGGGCAGGTCATTTGGGACAGAGGAAGGTGCTGGTAGAGTTCAGTGAGGTGAAACAGGAGAGCGGAACTTGGAATCTGTGAGGGAATTCGTGAAATGGACCAGTTCAGGTTCTGTTTCACCCAAATTTGTGCAGTTCCACAACAATGTTGTGTGAGATCAGTGCCTGTTCTCACAGCTTGTCCATCAGAGAACCACAGAATATTCTGAAGGATACTGGAAGGGACCCACAAGGATCAGAGTCCAGCTCTGAAGTACATGGCCCACATGGGGATCAAACTCACAGCCTCGGTGTGTTTTTAGCATCAGGCTCTAGAAGGAGTTATTTTGTTTGCTTTTCTCTGTACTGGGACACAATGGGAAGGGAGATCCAAGGTTAGAACAACAGGGAAATGCTTATTGAGGAATGAAAAATCTCAGCAAAGGCAGAGAATTTCCAGAATTCCTGAATATATTAATGACTCTCTGCTCTCCGGAGAGCCAAGTTAAGTAGGATACATGAAAGGGGACCAAGGCATGTGCTGGTCTCATCTTCCACATCCCTGCCTGACTCACAGAACCATCAGTGGTTTGCTCAGCTCAGGGGACATCCCACACTAATTAATGCTCCATCTGGAAAAAAGGACTTGAGGAAAAAAGAGCAAGGCAAGTCAGGGAGGAAGAACCTGAAATAACAACGTGAAGACCCCGCTCTCCTAAATCTCATTAATGTTACACCTCCCTCGTGTCCCCAAGCACTGAAGCACTGTTTTACTCATCACAGAAAGGGGGAATACTGAGCCTTTGAAGAGCTCAGCCTTCATGTTCAGTGGCTGGAAGCACATCCAGCAGGAATTTACACAGGTGGGAAGTGTTGCTTTGTCCTCACAGCCACAAAGGCACATGGATTTTGCTTTACCCACATGCAGCTCTGCAGCACTTGGAGTCAAAACTGGGGATGCTGAGAGGGAATCCCTGTGCACACCTCAAAGGGACTGCAAGGCTCAGCACGTCAAAGTGCTGGGAAATGATGCTGTGAACACAAATTCTTCTGTGAAAAGCGGGATGAAAAAGAATTGTTGTGACACTGATTTCTCCAACTCCCTTCACAGTGTTCCGGGGCAGTGAAATGCTCTGAGGGCATGGTATTATCAAGGGACAGTGACCACTTAAAATCCACCAAAATAAAACACACAGGAACTCCTGGCCAAGTTCAGGAGCTCGGATCAGAGCTACTCTTCCACATTTACAACCTCCTTCATTGCTCCAAGACTTACCTTGCTGATGCACCCGAGGTTATAACAGTTATAAATAACATTTTTTTATTAAGCAAAAAGTTCTTTTCACCTATTTCACCTCCCTACAACCCACCCCTAACTCTTGTGTCCATGCTCCCAGAGGGCTGGAGGCTTTAAGGAAGGAATTCATACCTAGCAAATTTATGTTGACTCAACACGAGCACGTTGCCTCTAATTTCTGCTACAATCTTGCTCTTATCCTCGGGCCGACCATGTTCTAGCACATGCTGGATAACATAGTTCCCATACTGATCCTGTTTGAGAGACAGCAGAAGTGTGTGACAAAAGGTGGACAGGAACCATTCACAGCAAACCAGTTCCCAATGTGCAATCAGAGTTACAGACTTCGACTAAAAACCAACTGAAATATCTACTGTGCAAATCATCTCAATACTTTCTGCTCCCACAGAAACGTGCATTCCAAATTCTAAATCCATTCTAGAGTGAAAAATGCTGCATTTCTGTAGCAATTGTATCAATTGTAAAACTCAAAACAATGTTCTTCCACGGGAAATGTCAATATTCTGCTTATTCCCAGTTTTCTTCCCTTTCTCCAGGTTCAAATGTATCAAATCAAGTGTCCTGGAGGGCTGTGCCATGGGACACTGTCCTTAAGCATATTCATGTTCTGAATTTGGGCATATTCAGATCCCAGGATATAAATATTGCAGTTCACAATCCCAGAAATGGCCTGATGCCTCAAATCCATGTCCAACCTCTTCCCACTTCCCAAATCCTGAGCACACAGGACAGGCTTTGTTTGCTGGATTTGCTCAATCCATTGTGCCCCAATAGCAGAATCCATGTAAAATCCTGCTAAACCAGGCTCTCAGAAGGACTGCAAGGGAGAGGAAAGGCAGCCAGGAAGGGGGTGTGCATAAAACCAACTCATTTTAAGAACAATTACTTGACACTTCCTTTTCCTGGGAATAATCAGCTCCTGGCACAGGCTCCTTTCAGCTCTCACTTGCACTGTGACTCCTGGAAGGCAGCACCAGGACAAAGCAGCCAGTGCTGACCAATTCCTGCTTCCCATTCCTCCTGGGAAGGGAATCCCACAGCCCCAGCAGCACTACAGCCCCACACAGGCTGCAGAGACCCAGAAACACCTCCCAGCACCTGAATCCCCCTTCCCACACCCACCTGCACCAGCTGCTCGGTGTGCTGGTGAAGCTCCTCCAGGATGGGCAGGGTCTGCTCGGGGAGACAGTGCTCCAGGATCCTCTGGATCACGCGGCAGCCGTAGGGGTGTGTGGACAACGCGAACACCTGGGGCCAACAACAGGGACAGAGCACAGGCACCAACACCTCTGTTAGTCCCTGGGAATCCCAGAAACCTCCCAGAGTTAAATGCACACACATGCTGGTTTTTCCTGGCCAGCTCCAGACACGTCCAAGGCAACTGGAAACATCTGTTCCCCACTGCCAGGTGATCACACCCCATCTCTCCCTGAGCTTCTGCTTCCCCACCCATGGAACAGGAAAACCAGTGCTAAAGCCTCTTGATTAATTAAAGAACGCTGGGGCAACCAGGCATTATTAGGAGTTCTGTCTCAGAGGAATAATTCCAACCCAAGTTTTGAGCTATGTAAGAAATGCTATCAGCCAGAAAAGTTTAAAAACGCCCAGCAAAGGATTTTCCTCAACTGTTTGGATTTGTTTAAAAGCCTTAACAGTGCTTAGGAGAAGTGACAACAAAGCATCTATCTCATTTCTAAAGGATTAGCAAATCTGTGGGTAAGAACATGACACGTTGGGTTATTGCTGCTCAGTTTTCTGTCTCCAGCACAAAGTCCTGTTTGGTTGCCCCAAATTAACAACAGCAGCAAATCCGAGCACTGAAGTTAAATCGACAGCTTGAACATTTTTAATAATTGTTGAGTAAACTGTGCAGGGAAACAGGGCTTGGAGTGCAATTAAGTGCAGGAAAATAGTCTGGAGGTGATAAGTTTAATCCTCCATGTGAAGGTTCAGATGAAACTGGGACGGCTGGTCAAGGAAATGTCAGTGCCATCAACTTTCTGCCTTCCCAAACTGCCCAAGGAAGGGCTGAAGCAAAACTCTAACCAGCAAATCTGCTGAGCAAGTTCCCAGCCAGAATCATGCTTGTTTTGACACAGCCAAGCAAGTTCCCACTTTCCCAGCTGAGCCAGGACTAAGAACTCCTGGTTCCTGCTGGAACAGCCCCTGGCTGTCCTCACATCCCTGGGGCAAATCCCTCAATACTTCAAAGTCCCCCTGCAAAGCCAATTAAGCTGAGGTTGGGAACACCCAAAGCAGCACTCCTGGAACGGGAGATGAGCTGACTGCAGGCAGAGCAAAGCCAGCTACACAACTGGTATCGATTCAGGAGAGCACAGCAATATAAAACCCATCTGAATCAGGCACAACTGCCCTTTCCTAGATGAAACTCGATTTTTTCCTCTGGTCTGAGGCCCTTGGGAATCAGAATTCCTCCTAATCCCACCCTTGCAGACAGGGATCATAAGGACAGTTTGCTACAGGCAGCACAACACTCTGCTAACTGGGAAGATGGATTAAGGAGAGACTTGTTTTCCCTCCATCAGTCAAAAATACTTGATGTTCCAGAAGAACAGCCTTTTGCAGGGATGCTTTCCTGTGACAGATCTGCACAGAAATGATAGCACAGATGTGACCAAGGAGTTTCAGGGCTCCCTCCCACGGCTGCATCAACCTTTCAACCCATACTTGCTAAGATTTAAAATTCCAAAGAGTTCAGCAAGTCACAGCCACTCTCAGGCTGTTAAAAACAGGAACACAAGGAGTGAGGACTGGGCAAGGACTCACCTGGCCCTTGAAGGCATCGATGATGAACTGCAGGGACTGAGGCTGCACACACTCAATGCACTTCTGCACCACGTGGTTCCCGTTCTGGTCCTTCACACACTTGAGGACGTGCCCGTCCAGCTCCCGAACCATCTCGTTCTATGAGGGGGAGAGAGGACAAACAGAAAGCACCACCAGCATTCCCAGCTGAGAAAGGCACTGGTACCCTGCTCAGGAACACGACAGGTATGAAGGATGTACTTCCAGCTGGGAGTTCTCCAGTGGCCAAGTGCTGGGCTACAGGAACCGACAGGAAAAATCCTACTGTGACATCCTATTAGAAAGCTGGGCTAGTGGAAGGTGTTCCTGCCATGGCAGGGGGGGAACAAGGTGACCTTTAAGATCCATTCCAACCCAAACAATTCCATGACTCTATGAAGATGAAGCCCTCCTTCCATTAATCAAGAGCCTCCTCTTACAAGTGAAATAACCAAATTAAAGACATTTAACTGAGCCACAACTCCCCTGTGCATCCCCCATTTTCTCCTCTGCTCCCCTCAAAGAGAACAAATCTAAAATGCCCAGAGTTCACAGACTTTTTGGGTATATCAGTGTTACATGTCACTAAAATGGGCTCAGCTCTGGGATCTGAATTTGCTGGTATTTAGTGACTGAGCAGATGAAGTTCAGACATGACTGATGTACCCCACGTGCAGGCTGAAAGCTTCACTCAGAAACAGAGAATGACACTTCTGGGGGATTTTAATGCTATGACAGAAACTGGATGAGTTCAGTTTGTAACTGAATCAAACCCAGGCATTTTGGGAGCACTGAGAACCCCCAAATGCCATTCTGGAGGAAGACAGTAAATCCTTGGAGCAGCACGGCTGGAGCTTGGGCACCACCCTGCTGACACACTAAGGCTTAGCTCAGGCTCAGCCTAAGGGAAGGAGCATTCCTAAAGCCTCTCTCAGTTCTTAATTTAATAACCCACACTGAGATTCCTGTACACCCCTTTATGAGCAGCCTGCCCAGTGTATTTCTCATCATAATTCATTGTTCCCAAAACCCTTGAGGAAGTGCTTTATTAATGAGCTCTGAGTGGGACTCTGGCTACCAGCCACATCTCTCCAGTGCCAGAACCAGGAGCTCCTCATCCATCTCCCTGCAGGAAAGCAGAATATTGACCCACATAGCAAGGCAGTGATAACTCGGTGAATATTAAAGACAAAACTCTGGCTTCTTTCAAGGGATTTAAAAATATCTTTTAATTCACCATCATTCTCAGTTTCCCCTCCATCCATAATCTGCTTTCAGGGAATTAACAGGGCCTCACGCCCAGGTAAGTGGAACAAGGAGATGACACAAGGTTGGCACGTACTCATCATGCACATGGAACACCACGAACACGCCAGGAACCAAAGCAAGGGCACACCAGGCACAGGAGGAACAGGAGAGCAGGCTCAGGAACGTTCAAACATCGAGAAGAAAGTTAAAATTGAAACTTACAATTACCTGCTGGTCTGGGGGGATGAACTCCAGGGCCTTCTGGATCACCCTGCAGCCGTACATCTGCAGCGCCAGCGACAGCACGTGCCCGCGGATGCGCTCGGCCAGGGCCAGCTTCTGCTCCAGGCTGCCAAACTGGGGAGGGCAAAACCAGTCACTGCCAGCACAGCGCCAGCCCACGGCCACACCTGGCACAGCTGCCACGGCCAGGGGGGAGACAAGGAATTCTGGGGGCACTGGGAAGGAAGGAAGTGCCCGGCCCACCTCGGTGGGGGTGAAGGGGCACGGGGCAGGTGAGTTCTGTGTCTGCCTGAACATTTGTGACACACTCCTGGGGCCACCAGGGTGACACGTGCCAGGTCACTGACCCTGGACAGGATGGACAGGAAGGTCACAGTCCCAAACCTGCCAGAGCTCCAGGAGTGTTTGGACAACGCTCTGAGGGACAGGGTGGGATTGCTGGGGTGTCTCTGCAGGGCCAGGAGTTGGACTGGATGATCCTCGTGGGTCCCTTCCAGGACATTCTGTGATTCTGAATTACTGGGCACAAGCACCACGAACACTTGTGGAGAAGGACCAGACCAGTGCCAGAGGGAGGGATGAGGGTGTCTGCCCAACCTCCTGCTATGGAACACATTTATCCAGTAGGTGTTGTTTGCTGGAAAAGTTTCTCATCTTCCTAAATACCAAAAGCTCAGCACAGCATCTCTCTCTTGTTCCTAAACAAGACAGCTCAGCACAGCAACTCTGAAAAATCTTGGATCTACATCTCACAGAATCCCAGAATGGTTTGGGTTGGAAGGGACCTCAAAGCTCATCTCATTCCAAGCCCCTGCCATGAGTAACCTCCCACTGGAAGGTCTCATCTCCTGGATATGGTGCTATTTACTCCTCCACCTTTTGCATCTCACAGAAAATGTTACTTTCCAGCTGAATTTTAGGAGTCCCACACCTCAGTGACTCCAGCAGCAAACATGCACCAGCCTGTGGGGAGGAGATGACCTCAGTGCTGACAGTTATCCATGGATTTAGCCTAATGGCAGGGTTTCCACAAGCACATCCAACACCTCAGGACAGCAGGGCAATGCAGACTTACTTCAAAGAACTTCTGGATGACGTAGTTCCCAAACACATCCACCATGAGCTGATAAGCTGCCTGCAGGATCTCGTTGAACACCAGCTGACGCTCTGCTGGGGTGGCACGTTCCAGTTTCAGCTGAATGAACCTGGAAAACAGGGCTGCTGTGATGCCACTGGCACATTTGTTCATTCAAACCCTTCCAAAAGCCTCACGAGTGCGTTCCAGAAACCACCACGGAAAATCCTGTTATGATATGACAGTGAACTGCTCCTTTCATTAACCAGGAGTGTCCTCTTAGAAATGAAACATCCGAATTTCAGAAATTTAACTGATCCACAACTTGCAAAGGTCTCCCAAACCACATCTTTCAAGTTGCTCTATCCAGCCATCTGAAGCCTTGGGGTAGTCACAGCCATGAGGTTCATGGAGACACATTACTGTTGGTACCCCAAAAATCTCAATTAAGCAGATCTCAATTAAGAGATACAGGAAAGCATCGTGCCCAGCTGGCTCTTCAGAACGAGTTAAGCTGTGCCAGTGGGACTAACAAGCAAATCACAGAGCAGGCAGGCTCCTCTCTAGAGCAGGAACTCCTGCTATGGGCACTTGTACCCAATCTTTGAAGGGTCAGTGTGACATAACTTGGCTTTCCACATCTCCTACTCCTCATTCCACCTCTCTGCTTTGGGATTGTAAGGGTAGAAGACCCTTCTGGAAGATTTATTACAAGGAGATCAAGGCTAATTTTGCTTAGGAAGACCTTCCTGCCTGAAGAGGCACCTTTCCCAGGGACAGCTTCAGCTGTTTTCTCCTCCTGCACGCCAGAGAAACTCTCCCTGGCACGAGGAAAAGAAAAATCCTTGCAGACATGTCTGAAGGCTTCCACAGAGGGTGGGGTGGGGATGATAAAAGCCCTGAGAAGAACAGGGGGCATTGTCTTTCCCCAGGCCTGGTGTTAAGGTTAACATTACCTGTAACAATGTTGCATAAGGCAACCACTGATTAATACTTAATAGTACACTACTTAATAATACAATACTTCATAGTACAATACTTAATAAATTCTCCCTGCTGGCTGTAAAGCCATGCCCTTGTTACTGTCCACAGGAAGCTTGTTTTGTCTCAGACTGTGTAGAAGGTTTGGATACTTCTGAGCCAGGTTCTTTTTTACTACACATAACTCTTCTCCTTTTTACAGTTACGGTGCCTTTCAGAATATTTCACCACACCTAGTTCTAAACAGGCTTTTGTTCTGCACTGTACATTGATGCACTAACACAGCCAAAAATAAATGCTATGTCCAAAGACAGCAGTACTGGTAATGTTAAACAATTAGTGCAAGAGAAAAGATGTAAGAAGAACTTAAATCCTGCAGCTTAAGAAAGCACACTTAGCAATACTGACGGTTCTTTTAAAACACTGATTTCTGCAAACTAACGTTTCCTTTCTTCTCAAAACGTTCGCGTTCTCGACTTCGGAAAACAAATTTCCCTACAATCCTCCCGCTGCCTGAGCATTGTTTTTCACCCCAGGGACGCCAAACACAACTGCAAGGCTCCCAGCCCCACCTGGAGCCGTGCTGGTCCTGGGAGAATTCCATGATGTGGCCGGCGATCTCGCGCAGCTGCAGGTTGGGGTAGCGGTTGTTGCGGAAGTCCTCGAGCAGGCGGCTGCGGCCGGAGGGCATCACGTCGGACATGCCGTAGCGCAGCCGGGACGAGGGGAACAGGGTGCTGCTGGGGCTGAACAGGCTGGAGGCACTGCTGGCACTGCGGTACTTGGCCTCGGCGCCCGGGGCCGCCG